TTGTGGTGTGAGACACACATTTAACTCCCTACTGTGATGTGATGTGAAACACACATTTTACTCCCTACTGTTGTGTGATGTCAGACAAACATGTCACTCCCTACTGTGGTGTGGTGTGAGACACACATGTCACTCCCTACTGTGATGTGATGTGAGACACACATGTAACTCCCTACTGTGATGTGATGTGATGTGAAACACACATTTAACTCCCTACTTTGATGTGATGTGAAACACACATTTAACTCCCTACTGTGGTGTGATGTGAGACACACATGTCACTCCCTACTGTGGTGTGGTGTGAGACACACATGTCACTCCCTACTGTACAGTGGTGTGAGACACACATGTCACTCCCTACTGTGATGTGATGTGAAACACACATATAACTCCCTACTGTGATGTGATGTGAGACACACATGTCACTCCCTACTGTGATGTGATGTGAGACACACATATAACTCCCTACTGTACAGTGGTGTGATGTGAGACACACATGTCACTCCCTACTGTGATGTGATGTGAGACACACATATAACTCCCTACTGTACAGTGGTGTGATGTGAGACACACATGTAACTCCCTACTGTGATGTGATGTGAAACACACATATAACTCCCTACAGTGATGTGATGTGAGACACACATGTAACTCCCTACTGTGATGTGATGTGAGACACACATGTCACTCCCTACTGTGATGTGATGTGAGACACACATATAACTCCCTACTGTACAGTGGTGTGATGTGAGACACACGTCACTCCCTACTGTGATGTGATGTGAGACACACATATAACTCCCTACTGTACAGTGGTGTGATGTGAGACACACATGTAACTCCCTACTGTGATGTGATGTGAAACACACATATAACTCCCTACTGTGATGTGATGTGAGACACACATTTAACTCCCTACTGTGATGTGATGTGAGACACACATGTCACTCCCTACTGTGATGTGATGTGAAACACACATTTAACTCCCTACTGTGATGTGATGTAAAAAACACACATTTAACTCCCTACTGTGGTGTGATGTGAGACACACATGTAACTCCCTACTGTGGTGTGGTGTGAGACACACATGTCACTCCCTACTGTGATGTGATGTGAGACACACATGTCACTCCCTACTGTGATGTGATGTGAGACACACATATAACTCCCTACTGTGATGTGATGTGAGACACACATGTCACTCCCTACTGTACAGTGGTGTGAGACACACATGTCACTCCCTACTGTGATGTGATGTGAAACACACATATAACTCCCTACTGTGATGTGATGTGAGACACACATGTCACTCCCTACTGTGATGTGATGTGAAACACACATATAACTCCCTACTGTGATGTGATGTGAGACACACATGGCACTCCCTACTGTGATGTGATGTGAGACACACATATAACTCCCTACTGTACAGTGGTGTGATGTGAGACACACATGTAACTCCCTACTGTGATGTGATGTGAGACACACATGTCACTCCCTACTGTGATGTGATGTGAGACACACATATAACTCCCTACTGTGATGTGATGTGAGACACACATGTAACTCCCTACTGTGATGTGATGTGAGACACACATGTCACTCCCTACTGTGATGTAATGTGAAACACACATATAACTCCCTACTGCACAGTGGTGTGAGACACACATGTCACTCCCTACTGTGGTGTGATGTGAGACACACATGTCACTCCCTACTGTGATGTGATGTGAGACACACATTTAACTCCCTACTGTGATGTGATGTGAAACACATTTAACTCCCTACTGTGATGTAATGTGAAACACACATTTAACTCCCTACTGTGGTGTGATGTGAGACACACATGTCACTCCCTACTGTGGTGTGGTGTGAGACACACATGTCACTCCCCACTGTGATGTGATGTGAGACACACATGTCACTCCCTACTGTACAGTGGTGTGAGAGACACACATGTCACTCCCTACTGTGATGTGGTGTGAGACACACATATAACTCCCTACTGTGATGTGATGTGAGACACACATGTCACTCCCTACTGTGATGTGATGTGAGACACACATATAACTCCCTACTGTACAGTGGTGTGATGTGAGACACACATGTCACTCCCTACTGTGATGTGATGTGAGACACACATATAACTCCCTACTGTGGTGTGGTGTGAAACACACATGTCACTCCCCACTGTGATGTGATGTGAGACACACATATAACTCCCTACTGTACAGTGGTGTGAGACACACATGTCACTCCCTACTGTGATGTGATGTGAGACACACATGTCACTCCCTACTGTGATGTGATGTGAGACACACATATAACTCCCTACTGTACAGTGGTGTGATGTGAGACACACATGTCACTCCCTACTGTGATGTGATGTGAGACACACATATAACTCCCTACTGTACAGTGGTGTGATGTGAGACACACATGTAACTCCCTACTGTGATGTGATGTGAAACACACATATAACTCCCTACTGTGATGTGATGTGAGACACACATGTAACTCCCTACTGTGATGTGATGTGAGACACACATGTCACTCCCTACTGTGATGTGATGTGAGACACACATATAACTCCCTACTGTACAGTGGTGTGATGTGAGACACACATGTAACTCCCTACTGTACAGTGGTGTGATGTGAGACACACATGTAACTCCCTACTGTGATGTGATGTGAAACACACATATAACTCCCTACTGTGATGTGATGTGAGACACACATGTAACTCCCTACTGTGATGTGATGTGAGACACACATGTCACTCCCTACTGTGATGTGATGTGAGACACACATATAACTCCCTACTGTGATGTGATGTGAGACACACATATAACTCCCTACTGTACAGTGGTGTGATGTGAGACACACATGTAACTCCCTACTGTGATGTGATGTGAGACACACATGTCACTCCCTACTGTGATGTAATGTGAAACACACATATAACTCCCTACTGCACAGTGGTGTGAGACACACATGTCACTCCCTACTGTGGTGTGATGTGAGACACACATGTCACTCCCTACTGTGATGTGATGTGAGACACACATTTAACTCCCTACTGTGATGTGATGTGAAACACACATTTAACTCCCTACTGTGATGTGATGTGAAACACACATTTAACTCCCTACTGTGGTGTGATGTGAGACACACATGTCACTCCCTACTGTGGTGTGGTGTGAGACACACATGTCACTCCCCACTGTGATGTGATGTGAGACACACATGTCACTCCCTACTGTACAGTGGTGTGAGACACACATGTCACTCCCTACTGTGATGTGGTGTGAGACACACATATAACTCCCTACTGTGATGTGATGTGAGACACACATGTCACTCCCTACTGTGATGTGATGTGAGACACACATATAACTCCCTACTGTACAGTGGTGTGATGTGAGACACACATGTCACTCCTTACTGTGATGTGATGTGAGACACACATATAACTCCCTACTGTGGTGTGGTGTGAAACACACATGTCACTCCCCACTGTGATGTGATGTGAGACACACATATAACTCCCTACTGTACAGTGGTGTGAGACACACATGTCACTCCCTACTGTGATGTGATGTGAGACACACATGTCACTCCCTACTGTGATGTGATGTGAGACACACATATAACTCCCTACTGTACAGTGGTGTGATGTGAGACACACATGTCACTCCCTACTGTGATGTGATGTGAGACACACATATAACTCCCTACTGTACAGTGGTGTGATGTGAGACACACATGTAACTCCCTACTGTGATGTGATGTGAAACACACATATAACTCCCTACTGTGATGTGATGTGAGACACACATGTAACTCCCTACTGTGATGTGATGTGAGACACACATGTCACTCCCTACTGTGATGTGATGTGAGACACACATATAACTCCCTACTGTACAGTGGTGTGATGTGAGACACACATGTAACTCCCTACTGTGATGTGAGACACACATTTAACTCCCAACTGTCATGTGATGTGAAACACACATATAACTCCCTACTGTGATGTGATGTGAGACACACATGTCACTCCCTACTGTGATGTGATGTGAGACACACATGTCACTCCCTACTGTGATGTGATGTGAGACACACATATAACTCCCTACTGTACAGTGGTGTGATGTGAGACACACATGTAACTCCCTACTGTGATGTGAGACACACATGTAACTCCCTACTGTGATGTGAGACACACATTTAACTCCCAACTGTCATGTGATGTGAAACACACATGTAACCCCCTACTGTCATGTGGGTGTCCTTGGTACATACACCTATCCCCCAGTTCATGACAGAACCGGAGTGATGTTACCAATCTGTCCTCACTGCCAGCTATTCCCTGTAAAGCCTGATTATAGAGATCTTGGGAGCACTACCTACTTGTGTGAAGTCCTCATGCTTCCTCAGATTGTCAATGACCTCTTTCTCACCTTCACCAGAGGAAGACACTTGAAGTATTGGTGTTGGACCTAACACCAGGTGTCCCTGATTGCTCCAGTGTGTCAGTCTCCGGTGTGTGGAAGTGTAATAGGCACAGATAATCAGCCCCCAAGAAGATCAGTTGATGTTTAACATCAAACAAATACAACTAATGTATTGCCTCAACCAGCTCTGTGCAGGCTGTTCTGCTCTCCTCAACCTACCCTAGGCTTAGTGGTGGAACAGGAAGAGGTGATTATGTCTCCTCTCTCACAGTCATAAACAGTGACATACTCCCATGTCCTATATAGAGATTATTACATGAGCAAGTGTGTCATACGACTTATACGAAATGAGTGCCCAAAATTTGGCACGAGTTACGTTTAAGTCGTGTGGCACACTTGCTCGAGTGTAATAATTTCTTTATTATCCATTGTATTCATGTACATTTGTGCAGTAAAACACGGTAAGCAAGTGTGATTGCTCTGTTCGTTGACGTCATGTTCAACTGTTTAATGACATCACAGATGCCGAAACACAGAAACAATGGTTGCTAGACAAAAGTAATATGTGCACATATGCACATATGATATTTATGACACTGGTTATGTTTCACATTATGGATAATAAATAGTTGTTATGTCATTTCTTGTCTTTTATAGCAGTTATGTCCTCCCTTGTCTTATATAGCAGTTATGTCCTCCCTTGTCTTATATAGCAGTTATGTCCTCCCTTGTCTTATATAGCAGTTATGTCCTCCCTTTTCTTATATAGCAGTTATGTCCTTCCTCGTCTTATATAGCAGTTATGTCCTTCCTTGTCTTATATTGCAGTTATGTCCTCCCTTGTCTTATATAGCAGTTATGTCCTCCCTTGTCTTATATAGCAGTTATGTCCTTCCTTGTCTTATATAGTAGTTATGTCCTTCCTTGTCTTATATTGCAGTTATGTCCTCCCTTGTCTTATATAGCAGTTATGTCCTCCCTTGTCTTATATTGCAGTTAGGGCGGTGGGGGAGGCGAGTGGTTGAAACCTTCGCTTGTCACTCCAAAGGCCCGGGTTCGGTTCCCCAAATGGATAGAATGTGTGAAGCCCATTTGTGGTGTCCCCCGCCATGATATTGCTGGAATATTGTTAAAAGTGGCTTACAACTATACATCACTCACTCACAATATAGCAGTTATGTCCTCCCTGGTCCTATATAGTAATATCCTCAGTAAGACAGAATATGTAGTGTCAAATTGTAAGAGAGCTTGTGTTGTGTGGTATAGGATAGATCCCCACAGTGTTCCTTCTGAACAGGAAGTACAAGGACACCTTGATGTGACTAGAGTTGACTAGAGGAGGTGTTGTGTGGTGTAGGATAGATCTCCCCAGTGTTCCTTCTGAACAGGAAGTACAAGGACACCTTGATGTGACGAGAGCGGACTAGAGGAGGTGTTGTGTGGTGTAGGATAGATCTCCCCAGTGTTCCTTCTGAACAGGAAGTACAAGGATACCTTGATGTGACTAGAGCTGACTAGAGGAGGTGTTGTGTGTGGTGTAGGATAGATCTCCCAGTGTTCCTTCTGAACAGGAAGTACAAGGACACCTTGATGTGACTAGAGCGGACTAGAGGAGGTGTTGTGTGGTGTAGGATAGATCCCCACAGTGTTCCTTCTGAACAGGAAGTACAAGGACACCTTGATGTGACGGTGACTAGAGGTGGTGTAGGATAGATCTCCCCAGTGTTCCTTCTGAACAGGAAGTACAAGGACACCTTGATGTGACGAGAGCGGACTAGAGGAGGTGTTGTGTGGTGTAGGATAGATCTCCCCAGTGTTCCTTCTGAACAGGAAGTACAAGGACACCTTGATGTGACGAGCGGACTAGAGGAGGTGTTGTGTGGTGTAGGATAGATCTCCACAGTGTTCCTTCTGAACAGGAAGTACAAGGACACCTTGATGTGACTAGAGCTGACTAGAGGAGGTGTTGTGTGGTGTAGGATAGATCTCCCCAGTGTTCCTTCTGAACAGGAAGTACAAGGACACCTTGATGTGACTAGAGCGGACTAGAGGAGGTGTTGTGTGGTGTAGGATAGATCTCCCCAGTGTTCCTTCTGAACAGGAAGTACAAGGACACCTTGACCTGACTAGAGCGGACTAGAGGAGGTGTTGTGTGGTGTAGGATAGATCTCCACAGTGTTCCTTCTGAACAGGAAGTACAAGGACACCTTGATGTGACTAGAGCTGACTAGAGGAGGTGTTGTGTGGTGTAGGATAGATCTCCACAGTGTTCCTTCTGAACAGGAAGTACAAGGACACCTTGATGTGACTAGAGCTGACTAGGGAGGTGTTGTGTGGTGTAGGATAGATCTCCCCAGTGTTCCTTCTGAACAGGAAGTACAAGGACACCTTGATGTGACTAGAGCTGGACTAGAGGAGGGTGTGTGTGGTGTAGGATAGATCCCCACAGTGTTCCTTCTGAACAGGAAGTACAAGGACACCTTGATGTGACTAGAGCGGACTAGAGGTGGTGTAGGATAGATCTCCACAGTGTTCCTTCTGAACAGGAAGTACGAGGACACCTTGATGTGACTAGAGCGGACTAGAGGAGGTGTTGTGTGGTGTAGGATAGATCTCCACAGTGTTCCTTCTGAACAGGAAGTACAAGGACACCTTGATGTGACGAGAGCGGACTAGAGGAGGTGTTGTGTGGTGTAGGATAGATCTCCACAGTGTTCCCTCAGAACAGGAAGTAGAGGACACCTTGACCGGACTAGAGCGGACTAGAGGAGGTGTTGTGTGGTGTAGGATAGATCTCCCCAGTGTTCCTTCTGAACAGGAAGTACAAGGACACCTTGATGTGACTAGAGCGGACTAGAGGAGGTGTTGTGTGGTGTAGGATAGATCCCCACAGTGTTCCTTCTGAACAGGAAGTACAAGGACACCTTGATGTGACGAGAGCGGACTAGAGGTGGTGTAGGATAGATCTCCCCAGTGTTCCTTCTGAACAGGAAGTACAAGGACACCTTGATGTGACGAGAGCGGACTAGAGGAGGTGTTGTGTGGTGTAGGATAGATCTCCCCAGTGTTCCTTCTGAACAGGAAGTACAAGGACACCTTGATGTGACGAGAGCGGACTAGAGGAGGTGTTGTGTGGTGTAGGATAGATCTCCACAGTGTTCCTTCTGAACAGGAAGTACAAGGACACCTTGATGTGACTAGAGCTGACTAGAGGAGGTGTTGTGTGGTGTAGGATAGATCTCCCCAGTGTTCCTTCTGAACAGGAAGTACAAGGACACCTTGATGTGACTAGAGCTGACTAGAGGAGGTGTTGTGTGGTGTAGGATAGATCTCCCCAGTGTTCCTTCTGAACAGGAAGTACAAGGACACCTTGACCTGACTAGAGCGGACTAGAGGAGGTGTTGTGTGGTGTAGGATAGATCTCCACAGTGTTCCTTCTGAACAGGAAGTACAAGGACACCTTGATGTGACTAGAGCTGACTAGAGGAGGTGTTGTGTGGTGTAGGATAGATCTCCACAGTGTTCCTTCTGAACAGGAAGTACAAGGACACCTTGATGTGACTAGAGCTGACTAGGGGAGGTGTTGTGTGGTGTAGGATAGATCTCCCCAGTGTTCCTTCTGAACAGGAAGTACAAGGACACCTTGATGTGACTAGAGCGGACTAGAGGAGGTGTGTGTGGTGTAGGATAGATCCCCACAGTGTTCCTTCTGAACAGGAAGTACAAGGACACCTTGATGTGACTAGAGCGGACTAGAGGTGGTGTAGGATAGATCTCCACAGTGTTCCTTCTGAACAGGAAGTACGAGGACACCTTGATGTGACTAGAGCGGACTAGAGGAGGTGTTGTGTGGTGTAGGATAGATCTCCACAGTGTTCCTTCTGAACAGGAAGTACAAGGACACCTTGATGTGACGAGAGCGGACTAGAGGAGGTGTTGTGTGGTGTAGGATAGATCTCCACAGTGTTCCCTCAGAACAGGAAGTAGAGGACACCTTGACCGGACTAGAGCGGACTAGAGGAGGTGTTGTGTGGTGTAGGATAGATCTCCACAGTGTTCCTTCTGAACAGGAAGTACAAGGACACCTTGACCTGACTAGAGCGGACTAGAGGAGGTGTTGTGTGGTGTAGGATAGATCTCCACAGTGTTCCATCTGAACAGGAAGTACAAGGACACCTTGATGTGACTAGAGCTGACTAGAGGAGGTGTTGTGTGGTGTAGGATAGATCTCCCCAGTGTTCCTTCTGAACAGGAAGTACAAGGACACCTTGATGTGACTAGAGCTGACTAGAGGAGGTGTTGTGTGGTGTAGGATAGATCTCCCCAGTGTTCCTTCTGAACAGGAAGTACAAGGACACCTTGATGTGACTAGAGCTGACTAGAGGAGGTGTTGTGTGGTGTAGGATAGATCTCCACAGTGTTCCTTCTGAACAGGAAGTACAAGGACACCTTGATGTGACTAGAGCTGACTAGAGGAGGTGTTGAGTGGTGTAGGATAGATCTCCCCAGTGTTCCTTCTGAACAGGAAGTACAAGGACACCTTGATGTGACTAGAGCGGACTAGAGGTGGTGTTGTGTGGTGTAGGATAGATCCCCACAGTGTTCCTTCTGAACAGGAAGTACAAGGACACCTTGATGTGACTAGAGCGGACTAGAGGAGGTGTTGTGTGGTGTAGGATAGATCTCCCCAGTGTTCCCTCAGAACAGGAAGTACGAGGAGACTGCTGTAAGGAATGTTTTCTCTCAACAACTGAGCTTCTGATTACTAATCCAGAACACTAACTGAGTGATGTTGTTATGAGCGCTTGGTTTATAATTAGACAACTTTAAACAGATGTTCATCTTTGGCTGATTATCCAAAGTGTTGCAATGGCTCCTAAACTTTATAAATTTGGGTTAAAGCTGTATGGATTATATCATATGTCGACTTTATGTTGAGGGAAAACTGAGGTATTCATATGTCGACTTTATGTTTAGAGAAAACTCAAACTGAGGTATTCATACTTAGTGCTACTTGAGTGAATGACAAACCAAATTGAGTAATCAAATCAGAAACACATTGTGTTCATCCTGGTCAATAAGATCCTGGCACAGCATTAGGGTAACACATTGTGTTCATCCTGGTCAACAAGATCCTGGCACATCATTAGGGTAACACAGTTCATCCTGGCACAGCATTAGGGTAACACATTGTGTTCATCCTGGTCAACAAGGTCCTTTCACAGCATTAGGGTAACACATTGTGTTCATCCTGGTCAACAAAGTCCTGGCACAGCATTAGGGTAGCACATTGTGTTCATCCTGGTCAACAAAGTCCTGGCACAGCATTAGGGTAACACATTGAGTTCATGCTGGTCAACAAGGTCCTGGCACAGCATTAGGGTAACACATTGAGTTCATGCTGGTCGACAATATCCTGGCACAGCATTAGGGTAACACATTGAGTTCATGTTGAGTGCGACAAAGTCCTGGCACAGCATTAGGGTAACACATTGAGTTCATGCTGGTCGACAAGATCCTGGCACAGCATTAGGGTAACACATTGAGTTCATGCTGGTCGACAAGATCCTGGCACAGCATTAGGGTAACACATTGAGTTCATGCTGGTCGACAAGATCCTGGCACAGCATTAGGGTAACACATTGA